ATCCCAGGAGCTGAGTTGCTTCTGCTTGCTGGGAGGTTGAAGGAAAAGGGCAAGGTCAGTGATGCATTTATGCACCAATGGAAGCACTGGATTGGCTCCATTGATGCATCCGTGCCAGGCATAGGCAAACTCGGCCCTCCAGATGTTTTGGGACTACAACTCCCATCATCCCTAGCTAACAGGACCAGTAGTCAGGGATGATGGGAGTTGTAGTCCCAAAACATCTGGAGGGCCGAGTTTGCCTATGCTTGATCCATGCAGCCCTAACCTCACTGCAACCTTCCTCCACCCGTTCCTGGTAAGCAAGTTTGGTGCTGGGAAGCTATTGCGGTGGCCCCACTCTACCAGGTGAGCTTCACTGGCTTCCTTTTCTGCCATCCAAATTATACCTGGGATCACATTTCACGTTAACCTGGCAAAGAGCTCATTATTTTAGTGGCATAATTCAGCTGAAAATGTGTCCTATTTTAAAGGAAGCTTCCTCTGAAAGGGAGCGTCAATAGATCCACAACTTCAAACTGTGTTGGCCAAAACAGCACACAACGTCTACAAAAATAATAGATGTACGGGGGTCCTTTTCTCTTGGCATCACAATGTCGGGCTGCTGCTAAAACCTCTGGAACAGAAAATAACTGGCAACACTGAGCCTGAATTTCTGCAGCATTTCTTGTAGAAACTACCTCCTGCAGCTGTCTCTGGCTGCTGTGTACATTTTCAGTCCTTTTCTTTTCTAAATGCCTTTCCTCTAAAGCAGTTAACCATTCCATGTCGCAGCATCCCGTCTCACAGTCTTCAGGGTCTAACTTGTTATTGGATTCCAAGTCACCTAAAGTACCGAAATGATTGCTCTTTGCTGGGGTGTGTTTTGATTGCTCTCCTGTGTTCTTCAGGCTATTCAAATCAAGGCAGCTGCTCCACGTTGCCTTTTACAATCCTATAAGCCTGCAGGCTCGTGTTTACTGTCAGAAGCAGGAACTAGCGATTGTACATGATTTTTCCTCTTTAGTTTAATCTCACATCACCAATACTAATATTATTTTCCTTCCAGTAATGACCTTTTCAATCCATTCATCTAAGTATATTTTCCATGCAGCTTAGAGCGTGATATCTGTGGATGCATTAATCTGTTTCTACGACAAAACTAGGGCTTTTCCAACAGCTGTGCTTCTTTCTTTTCCTAGCATGGGATTTGCCTTTTTTGCAGCTGCTACTTTTTTTCCATTGAGCTTGCCAGCACAATCCCTAAAACCTCCTTCCTGGCCAGTCATAGCCATCTTATACCCCCATCATATGTGAAGTTTTAGGATGTTTTTTGTCCCTGCATACCTCACTTTATATTTACCTAACTGACCTGCATTTGCCTTTTTCTTTTTCCTTTCCTTTCCTTTTTGCCAATTCATCAAATCTGGTAGAAATCCTTTCGGAGCTCTTCAAAAAATCTCTTTATTCTTACCACCTTGAAAAAAGTATGGTCACCAGCAGCCTTGGCTATGTTGTGCTCACCCGTAACTCCAGATCATTGATGGACACATTTTAAAAGCACTGGTCCACAAACATATTCTTGGGTTAGTCGGGTCCTCCATCATGGAGGGCACGTGTTGTGGTGAGATCACCAGAAACTGCCTCCCTGTTGTGGGGTGGGACCATTTGGATGGCCACAACACCCCATTGGTTGCCCCTCTGTTGCTGGGGCAGAAATTTGGTCAGTCGGGTTGGCTATCGGCTGCTGAGGGGCTACTTAAGCTGCTGCATGTCACTAGAGAGTTTCACTTTCTTGCGACATGCAGTAGATCACCCACCGTCCTCTCCCTAAATTTAGGGTTGCTCTTATGGCCTTGATATGCCTGTCTAGGGGTCGTCTGTTTTGGAACAGGGGCCTGGTAGGAATTTTGCCATTTGGCTGATTGGCTGGTGCCACTTGGTTTTTACCTACCATGTAGCAAATCATCACAACTTTGTAAGGTTGGTGATTAGGCATTTGGTTCAGTGTTTTGGGGAGGGGACGTGGTTGGCTCTGCCTGCCCCTCGATTGCTGCTGCTAGGGAATTCTGTTAAAGGAATCCAGGGAGCTTGCCTTGCTTTTGTCTGAACCCTGTCAAGGGGCTAGGGCCACACCAGAGCCCCTGGGAGCATCTGGGGTGAGCTGTGAGATCAAAGGAGTTCTCACTCCGTCAGGATGCTTTCCCTTATTGACATATGGTGGTGCGCAGTGTTGGTCCTGTTCCTGTCACCGTGCAGGTTCAGGTAGTCTGGAACCAATGCCTAAGCAGCCACTCACATGCTGTAATCAATAAAATTGTGGCCAAAATTTAATGCGAAAAACCTTTAAAATCTGTGTCTATTGTGTCTTCGTTTGGGGTGGTTTTGGGGGTATTCACATCCAACTACAATTTCTACTTACTCTCCCAGTAAGGTGGCAATTCTATTCAGGTTTAATCAGAAGTAAGCTCCACTGAATTACATTGGGCTTACTCCCAGGAAATTGCAGTTAGGAATATTGTCTTTGATCAGGGTCCTGAAGGCAGTAAGCTTGGAGAACCCATGTTGATTCCTCTTCAGGAAAACTTGCTCTTCTCTATGCTTGATAATTTTATTGTTAATAGTACTTCCAACCAATTTACCCAGAACAGATGCTAAGCTATCTGTCTGTAATTTCCTGGATCTCCTTGGTGTTATGTTGGCTGCTTTCCAATCATCTGGCATGGAGGCCAAACTTTGGGACATTTTTTTGTTAGAAGATACCATTTAGACTGGTCCCATGAGCTCCAGAGTCTGGCAAATGCTTCCAGTTATCTGTAATATTAGCATAAATTACTTAACTGGTTCTACCACTTTGCCCTGATTGCCAAAGATATTTGTGTTTAAATAAAAGGTTCTCCACCGTGTTGTATATTCATTTCCGGACATTCAGTATTTTATTCATTTTCATTTTTTAAAAATAAAAAACCCTCATCTTTCTACCAAACAAGGTATTCAAGGTGGCTGTAACAAGGCAATTAACTTTAATTTATTGCACAATTATTATAATCCTACCAATAGGTGTGAAGCAGGCAGCAGACCATTCCAAATTAGATAAGTAAGGCTGAGAGAAAACAAAATGATTTAAGCCAAACAGTAGCTGGGATTTTACTACACTTGGGCCCAAATGGCCTTGTCTAAATTTCATTGGATTTTGAGATTGTAGTGGTAAAATTTGGCTGCAGGATTGTTTTAGTAAGCAGATAATATTAAGCAGTAGTAAATGAAGTTTTGTTGTGTTTGTGTACAGTCAGTTCTCTCGGGTTCTGTTCAGTGCTGCCATTCTGCTCATGCAACAGATTTCTGGTGTAATGAAACTTTCTCCTCCTCTTCTGTCTCCTACAGACTCCCATACACCTTCAAAACCTGCTTTAGAGTGTTTGGGGACCCTCTGGAGTTGAGGAAGGGGAAGTATGCAGTGTTGGTTTCAACCCAAAATAAACTTCTAAAGCCTTCAGCAGAAGCCATTTTCAGTGGTGGTTCTCTTCAGAAGTATATTTGATGTCTTTCTGGTGCGAAGTTTTATTTTCCTATGCATTTAAACTTTTGGTGGTCTGTTTTATTCTGCCTTGTATTATATAGTGATGCTCTTATTTTCTGCTTTTAGCTAACGTTTCTGTTCATGCTATTTTATTGTGTTTTAAAATATTATATTATAAACCATGTTGATAATTTGATTGAAGGGTGGGATATTTAACCTTGATAATAAATAATAGATTATATGAGGTTAATGGCAAATTAGCCAGTATGGGGCCTTGTTCCCAGAAACAGCCACCAGGAAAAGCTGATTTTGAAAGAGAAGGGTCAATAATTAACCCAGAATTAAATATGTGTAATAGCTAGCAATAATTATAAAGGGGACATAAAATGGGAGTTCTGTCACAGTTCTAGGTGTTCCGATTAAAATTGCCTCCACTTCTGCTCAAAGGCAAAATAACATTTTTCTAATGTATACTTGGGCTTATATTCTCAACAGGAATTAAACACCAGGTAGAAATTACTATAAAATGGTATGACTAATTTCAGCCTCAAATAAATGTGTATGGATACCAATCTGATTTCCATGTAAGAACTCTGAGTCTTTACTCAGTTACAGTAATCCATGTGAAGGCTGCTAAGCTCTATGTGATAGGAGATTTCTGACCCTGGGTTTCCATGTAATCACTAATAGCACAATTTCTTAAACAACCTATAATGAGTGCCTGAAAGCGATGAACACCTGATGAAATTGCTCTACCACCCTATCTTCTTTCATCTATGAAATGAAAAAGAAATATTAAAAGCTGGCCAAAACGCTGCAATTTCTCCCACGATTTGGAAAGCTTAAGACCATGGGACAAGTGCCTCTCAGTTTTTATATCCTGGCTTGAATGGTTATAAAATAGTCAATGTAGCAAAAGGAATAGCAAGAAAGTAATAATACTTTCATATGACTTACTACTGCTACTTCACAGTAATGATGTGGCTCCAGCCTGAGTGTTGCAGTGGTCAATACATTTTAAGATGGACAAACTGGAAAGAATTCAAAGAAAAGTATTGAACAATCATGTTGACTTAGATATAAGACCAAACAAAAGGATCTCTCTCTCTCTCTGTCTCTTATTTGCCCAATGCAGGACTCCAAAGTGGACCCAAAGAAACCTACTTAGGCACCTTATAGCATGGACGGAATCCTCACTGTTGCCTTTTCACTTTGCTGCTTTGCTCCACTGCATATCACAGAATCATAGAATTGTAGGGTCAGAAAGCATGTTGAGCGTCATCTAGTCCAACCCCCTACAATGCAAGAATATCAACTAAAATATCCGTGACAGATGGCCATCCAACCTCCAATTAAGAGCAGTCCACCACCTTCCAAGGGAGTCTTCCAGAGACACAGGTGATGATGTAGAAAGGAAGGGAAGCTTTGGAGCAGTGGCTCATTGGAGCCAGTGGCGTAGCGTGGGGGGTGCAGGGGGGGACGGCCGCACCGGGTGCAACATCTGGGGGGGGGGCGCTCGCACTCGCAGCTCTCTGCCCCTACCTGGCTCACTCACTCTCTCTCACTGCAGTGCTGGCTGGGCGAATCCGATCCGAGCCGCTGGGTCGCCGCCCACTGTGGAGGGGGGGGGTGCCAGGCGTGCGGTGCGGAGAGAGAGCGAGGGACTATCTGGGGGAGGGACAGTGCAGCGGCCGCCCAGCGCAGCGCTGAGCGCGGGAGAGAACCACACCAGACCAGACCAGGCAGCAGCAAGAAGAAGCTGGCAGTGGCGGCAGGTTAGGGGTTAGGGGGCACAAATTACTTGCCTTGCCCCAGGTTAGGGGGCGCAAATTACTTGCCTTGCCCCGGGTGCTGACAACCCACGCTACGCCGCTGATTGGAGCTAACTCTTTATTAGCAAGAACAGGGTCAGCACAGGCCTTATGAGCACAGGAACTCATCCCTGGTAGTTCTTGCCATATGGATCAGTTGCCAAAAATAAAGGTCCCTGCCTCCACACATCTTCTATGTTTCCTCCTTTCCAGGGTTGTTTCCAAGCAATCGGAGACTGCACCTGTACGCCTGTCTTTGCTCCCCCTGCTTCATGCCTCTTCTGGTTTTGAGAGCTGAGGGGGGAAGCACCCATGGCTCTTCCCTTGCCTGACTAATTTCTGCCTCTTGGCTTTCCTCCTCCCATCCTCCTGCTTCAGCTTCTGCCTCTGATTCTGGACTTCTCTCTGTCTCAGACTCCCCCAACTCACTAAGTCCCATTACCCCTTCAGCTTCTGACACCCCCTCTTCCCAAACTTCTCCCTTTTCTACCTCTGGCTACTCATCGTTGTCCCAACACCACTCCCTGGTCTCTGAGCCTTCTTCCCTTGGCGGTTGCCCAGCTGGTTCTTTCCACCATTCCTTTGCCTCCAACTAGTCCATGAGACTTGGATTGCTCTTCTGAGGTCCCTCCTGGGGACAACTTGCCATGGGTGACTGGAGCCAGAGGAAAAAGCCAGAGGAGAAAGGAATGAGTATAAACTTTGTATAGTAGGCTTCTTTCTACATACACTCACACGCCTCTCTCAATCTTCCACCAAGTTAAGCAAGCAGCCTTATCACAGTTCAGGGATACATTCCACTCATGTACACATACTAAGGAAGGAAGGAAGGAGAGTGGGTGAGGGCCATGGCCTTTAAAAAGGGGTGGTGGCTGTGGAAGGGGTATGACATGAGGAGAGTGGAAAGCCAGATATAGAGGTTTGGAGGTTGACATTTGCCCCCCTGGGCCTGAGGTTCCCCACCCCTGCTATAATCCCGTCTTGAAAATGCCCTGATCTTAGTCTTATTTTGCCCATGTCTTTCCCATTTGATTAAAGTCAAATAATCATTTACACTAATAAAGGTAAGATAAAGGTAAAGGACCCCTGGATGGTTAAGTCCAGTCAAAGGCACTATGGGGTGTGGCACTCATTTTGCTTTCAGGCCAAGGGAGACGGCGTTTGTCCACAGACAGCTTTCCGGGTCATGTGGCCAGCATGACTAAACCACTTCTGGTGCAACAGAACACTGTGATAGAAGTTAGAGTGCACGGAAACATTGTTTACCTTCCCGCCACAGTGGTACCTATTTATCTACTTGCACTAGTGTGCTTTCAAACTCTTAGGTTGGCAGGAGCTGGGACAGAGCAACAGGAGCTCACCCCGTCGCATGGAATCAAACTGCCGACCTTCTGATCAGCAAGCCCAAGAGGCTCAGTGGTTTAGACCACAGTGCCACCTGTGTCCTTACACTAATACTGTGGAATAAATCCCTAAATTCCCATTTCCCAGTTGCAACACCACAATCTGTGACTTTCCTACAAAGTATAAAAATAACAGATAGAACCTACTTGCTTTCAGACGGAAACATTCATTGTTTAGTGTCAGAGATGGCATCTGCTGTTCCTTAAGTATTTATTGAAACATGACAAATAGCTTTTTGCAGCAGAAAATCTGAAAGGAGCTCAAAACCTTCAGGTTAATGTTTGAAGGGCAGAAAAGCAATTCATAAAAGTTCTGCACTTGACACTTTTGCCTGTGTAGAACTCATGGGCAAGACACTGAACAGGACAACTTGCACAGTAAAAGACACGATTCCTGCATGCATTTCAAAGCCAAGCTTTGTTTTAACAGTTACTGGGGTGCTGATCAGGAAAATCAAGTTTAGGAGTATGATGAGAATATGTTCATTAATGATGGTTTAAAATCAAACTTACGCTATAAATCTAACAAGGAAAATAAACTTCCCTACCCATTTCCCAAGACGCTAATTCTGCAAATCCTTTTTATTTTGCTTTGAGCTATTTGTTTCTAAGTTTCCATTTTGGGCTTATCAGATAAGGGCACAGCAATTTTATTACTCTGATGTCTGGAACAGTATCATGAAGAAGAAAACCCCATCCGAAGCTTGTAAAAAGACAACATAGAAATATATTACATTTGCATTTCAAATATATTAATACTTTATAGAATACATTAAATAGTGATAAACTAATATAAAATTTATGTTATTTATATACTGCATTAGCCACTCTGGAGAAACACAGAAATGTCTACATTTGTTTTCAATGTTTCCAAATAAGGGCAAAAAACATATTTCTCCCCCAATCCTGAAATTACCATAATTATAATTAGGAAAAATGTATAATATCTGTATGTAAAATTAAAATACATCATTAAGTGGAAGTAGTAAATACCTTTGGCCCCTCACCCTGGAAAAAAATGAGATATTAGAAAAGGAAAGGAAAGGAAAACAACTTTATTATTTAACAAGATCTGCAATGAGAGCAAATGAATTTTCTGTAAGCTATGGATGTCTACCTTCTAGGGGAGAGCTAAGAAATATATTGCTGTCACTTGTCATGAGTGCCAGACCAGTCAGCTGATTGATCTGTGCTCTGCGCTCTGGTCCAATCATGGGCTATAAATTTAGGTCCTGGCCAAGCTTTGGGCATTGCCACCATAACCAATAATATTGTGGCCATTTTTAACCCTTTCTTCTGTCTTAGTGTGATTCTTCCTTTCTCACTCTGGCCCTGGTCCATACTGTGAGTGCAAGTGTGTGCTACCTTTTCATTCTGTGCCTTCTCACGTAGTGCCTCTGCCTTAGCTGTTTGTTCTGGATATAACCCTTTAAGAAAGGGCCTCTTTTATAAACCCATATCCATATTTATTCAACAGAGATTTCAGAGGAGAATCCCCATACTGAACTTCTATCTTGTGAGGAAGGGTAGAATATAAACTGAATAAATAAATAATAGAACAGTCATGGTATGGCTGTACACTTTTCTGCAATAATCAGTATGAAATGATAGTCATGTTTAAAGGTGAACCACCTTAATTTGCACTTTCTGAAACAATACGTAGACTGAAATACACCCATCCTTTGAAATTTACACTTTTCCAAAGTTTGCAATGCACTGCAGCCAAGTAATGTGTACAAAGATGCATATACTAGGGTAAAGTGTGCATAAGAAAGAGCGGATTCATGAAAACAACATGCCAAATGTATTCTACTAGAGGCAACTGCTTTGCAAAAATCACATTAAACAAAGCTACATACAAACTTCTGTATAGTAGTAGAAATTAGCACTAAAATGCTCATGAGGAATTTAAAAATAATAATCACAGACTGATGCAAAAATGTAGAGTATTGTGAGAAAGTGAGCAACTGAAATGGACAGATTTTCTCCATCCCTGCTAATAAGTGAAGATTCCCATGTCTGTATACTTCAATGACACCTGCATTTTGTTACCCAGTTCTCTCTGTCCCATGGCTTGTACACAGGAATCTTCACCCTCTGAAATTTTGCATAATGTTAGTAGCTTCATAGTACACCCCTCTCCCCCACCACAGAAAGATAAAGGAACTGCCACTGACTCTGAAGTCGAAGCACCTGTGTATAAATTCAGAGTATTAAACTTGCAAGAGGGGAAAAAAAACTTGATAAAAATTATGAGCTCAGTCTAGTATATTGCATTGGAGAACTGCAAGTCAAGCAACTACTGTGCTGCTTGCAATGCTTGGTTTGTGGCCCAAATTACCCAAACTGTTTGTTTGATGGCATCAAATCTAAATCAGAAGATGAAGTTTTAAAGTTCTCCTAGGCTTGATCTGTATGCTCTGTGGGATGTTTATACAGTAAAGCAGAAGATGGTCTTTTTCTTTTCCATTAATCTTTATTAGCTATTTTATTGATTTGGTAATATTCAAAGGATAAAGTCCCATCCTCATGTTTCCTGTGCTAACTTGTATTGCTCCATATAAAAGTGATTAAGACATTCCCTTGCTTAGCAACTGCAAAATCTACCACAATAGTTCGTTCATTATTTTGTTGGCAGCTGATATTAAACCAGGACGTTAACATAGATGATGCAAAGCTTGTTTTTCATTATTGTGTTTTATAATCTTCGCTTTACACAACTGCCAGCCACACTGCATCTCTGGGAGCTGGAATATCTCCTTCCTTCCTAAATAATGATGGTCTTCCTAGGCCTAAAAAGACCTTGTTTTCCCTCAATCTTGGCCTGCCTCTCCTGTACATGAACAATCAGTGGCACTGCCTGTTCTTGCTTCCACAGAACTTCTCTTAGGTGAAGAGCCATAGGTCAGTGGCAGGGCATCTGTTTTGCATGCAGAAGGCCCCATGCCGTTTCCAGTCAGGACTGGAAAATAACCTCTGTCTGAAACCCTGGAGAGCTACAGCCAGTCGGCATAGACAATACTGAGCTAGTTTGAACCAATGGTTCAGTTCGGTATGAGACACCTTCCTGTGCCCTCTTATTCTGTCAAGCATATTGCAGTAGTTAAGGCTTAAGGCAACAATAGCCTTAGGTACTCATTGAACCACTGCAGCCCCTGGCTCTTCAGAGAGAAGCCAGAGACAGCTCTTCTTCATCACATCAGATAAGATGCACCTACTGAAATTTCTTCTTTCACGCAACTGAGGTGGAATTTAAAGGAGGCCTCCTTGGGTTTTTATAAAGGGTTCACCCCACCTACCTAGTTTTTGTCTTGGAGTCACAGTGTTTAATCTTTTACTGGTGTTAGGCTAACAGAAAACCACAGACATACTTAGGGAAATAATTTTCAAAGCAGTGCAGGCTCATTACACAAAGGCCTGCTTGTTGAACAAGTGTGAAAACAGCATTTTTTTATTTCTTTTCCTGCTGTGGTTTTTTTGTTTTTTGTTTTTTGAGGTAAAATATTTTCTCATATATATTCTGTGGGAAGTTATCAATGTGTGGCTATTTTTAACTGTTTTGTTTTTGTTTCTTGTAGAGCACGGAGAAGAATCTGGA